ATGTTAGTCTGATTTTTTTTTACTGTTACATTGATAGTGCACGTTTCTATGTCAATTGCATGCAGTGGTAGTCTTGCTGGCGCTGCCATGTAGAATGTTGGAAATGGTATCATCATGCACAAGCAGAATTATTAGGCAATGAAAAGAATACCTTCTCAGATCCCCGCTCTTTTATTACCAGGTGGCGACCTATCTCATTTGAATTTTAAATTACTCTGATTTTGTGTGTGTGTGTGAAGCACTGTCTTAGCACCTGGAATATACACACACACACACATTCAATACACTTTCTTTGTACCTATAATAGTACACAATCTCCTTCCACCTTACATTCTCCAAAAAGATGCATACCTTCTCAGATCCCCGCTCCTTTATAGCCGAGTGGCGACCTATCTCATTTGAATTTTAAATTACTTTAAATTTCTTTTGTGTGAAGCACTGCCTTAGCACCTGGAACGCTGATGCGCCTGCGCATGGAGCGCCAGCACTACCGGTGTTTCTTCAAGTGCTAAAACAGGCAGGGTTATACTTCGGGTGCAATTTCTCGAATAGCACGTGTTTCCAGCACTCATTTTTTGCTCGCCATCGCTACCCAAACGCTGCATGCACGTCAAGTGCTACACTTGGCACGTGTGGTTCAAATTTGTACCCAGCACCCGTGATTTATCACTTCATTTTTTAGAGTGTATGTTTACTGACACCCTCTCTTATTATTTCTATTATTGAATAATTCTTTTCACTTTTCCTTCGTCATTCGAGGGGAGGGGGAGGGTACATCCCCCTCGCTACTCCGCTGGAGTGAGATGATTAAAAGAGCAGCGTAGTAACACATACCCCAGATTTCACGACACAAATATCACATATGTATTGTCATTATATTATAAAAATACATGTTCATGTAAATCAAACACTGACATCAATTTGTCTTTCTTTTTTCTCGAGGCTGTAATGAAATTAGTACTCTTCTCATTTTATACGTAAATGTGTTTAATATCCTCTCATCTTTCTATAACTTCATTAAGTATTCCCTAAGTTTACTCGAGACTCCAGTATAAGCATGGTTATTTTAGGGGGAGATGTCTAATTTCCTTTTTATCAGTAAATTTCATCTGTTTGTTAATTGTTTGGTATCCATTCATAAAACGCTTTAACATGATTGGTATTTGCAGTATCTAAAACATGACCGATTGTTGCCAAGCCGTGCTACCAGCCTGAAGAAGACTCCTTGACAACGAAACAAAATATGAAAACATCATTCGTACTAAAAGATTCCGAACACGATGTGACTCGATCCAACACATTTTCATTGGAAGTTAAAATGCAAAGTCAAAACTTAATTGAAATTATATATAACAAAAGAAGGGAAAACAGAGATTCGGAACTATAATACTTTATTTGTATCATTTTGAAAAACGGAAACTGACTAAGCCGCTGTAATCATACTCAATAAATACCCCGAAAATAAATAAGATAAATAATAGATAATACATACACAAATAAATACGTGAATAAATAAATAAATAAGTACATTGAAAAAATAAATAAATCAATGAATTAAAAAAAATGAAAAAAATACATATAGATATTGAAAAGATTGGTACTACAAAATCGGAGAATCGCGTTTAAGAGAGCCATACTTAAGCTTTTCGTCTTGCACTCAGCAGAGTACAACGCAAGAATGAAACAGAAAGCAGAAATTGAACAATATAAACGGAAACTAAGAGGAACATAATTATCTATATATTTGAAGAAAAAAAAACACACACAAACAATTACATTAACAAATAAATTATAAAAAGCACAAGACAAAACAAATCATTTGCAGTCTCTGTGTATAGCTACATCACTGAATGCATGTAAATTCCTCATTTCTGCGCATTATGATTTTAGATTTTTTTTTTTTTTAATGAACCTTCAAGTTCCTGAATAGGTTATCTCGCGCTTATACATGTTTTTCCACTGATGAAGCACTACATTTTGGTTGACGTAAGGAAAATACTGAAATGTCTGTCTTTCGTATGTCATCACACAGTTGCGAGAATTCAACCATCGCTCAGTTCGAACCCACAGACCTGTAAGAAACCAATCTCCCTTTACAGCGAAGGAAAACTTCAGCGTATAAATGGAGAGAAAGTCGCCAAGGAACACTGTCCAGTTAGAGAGACATACGACGGTCAGCCGATACAAACCATTCTGAAGTTGATCCGGCGATCGAAGGCCATATCTCCCTGTCCAGGCCGAGCACACACTTCGGATGAGTCGGGAATATTTGTTTGTCGTATTCCAGGTAAAGTGGATTCTGAATTCTTCCTTCTTTATTCATGCTTATCTGAAAAGCCTTTTCCGATTTTGTGTGTGACACTGCCGACATGGAAGAGAGCGTTGGAGAATGTAGTAGAAGTAGTAGTAGTAGACTTTATTGGATAACTTGTTTAGCACAAGGCTAATCTGCCACAAGGTCCAAGGAATGGGCATCACCTTGTAAGATTTTCAACACAAAGCAAGGAAAGAAAATAGAGAAAATTAGTGTAATGCTCTCCAAACCTTAATTATTTACTTTAGCTGCAAAACGTAATTCATAGGAAAGAGAAGACATATAAATCCATTGCATAACAAATTAAAGGAAATCTCACCCCAAAGACAATGGCCCGAATTCACAAAGGAGGTTTGTCGACAAACCTTGGTTTTCGTACGTCATATGACGCGTTTTTACGCGCTTTTTACTAACCTGGTTTTGTAAAGAACAAAAGGAGGTTTGGCGAAACAAAAGGAGGTTTGTCGACAAACCTCCTTTGTGAATTCGGGCCTAAGAGTTTGTATTCTGAATAACCAATAATGAGATGTATTTTTGCCCTTTGATGTGAAATATTCCTTATGAACGTGTACAGGAGATATATAAATGAAGATATTCTTGGCATGATGTAATATCTAATATGCCTTACAGCATGACATGGGTGCAGTTATTTTCTTTAAAATATGATGTACCAGGCGAAGTGGTACATGTATCATGTATGTAACAAGCTTTAGTTGAAAGACTTTTTAATTCAATAACAAAATCTTAACTTTTCAATGAGGGAAAATCATAAATGAGAAGGTAAAATTTATATTTGGTGAAAAATATATAACAAGGGAACATTATTGTAACTCTTTTATTGAAAAATACCAAAAATAGCAGTTGACAAAATTTATTTCATTTATGCAAGTCCCTCACCCCAGAAGAGCACCAAGTTATTTTTGAGGTTTGCGCAATTGTAGGTGAATGACATATCTCATCACCACACCCACACCTTTGAAGGAAGCATCCATAACTTTTTGAATACATTCATTCGATAAACGACTTCACTAGTACGTCAAGTTATCAAGAAAATGGCGATGCCCATGTCATGCTAAGAAACTGTACATTTTCTTGTTTTATGCCTCTTTCATACTTTTCGATGGAGAATCTTGTAGATTAATGGGCAATAATACAATAAATCTCTCAGAATAACTTATGTTATTTCTTTGGGAGAGCTTTCCTTTAATGCCCTTTCCCGAAAGCTATAATGAATGCTCTACGCATAGAAAAGCCACTAGTATGTGCGTGTGCGTGTATGTTAGGTGTGCATTTGTTTCTGTGTGTGTTGGTACGTATGAGTTGATGTATGTTCACATACAGTGAATTTTTAATGGAGTAATCCTATAAGCAAAAGTTTGAGAATGGCAGGTGTTTAAAACAAAACATGAAATCAAACTTTCTTCCTCAGATTGTCTGTCCAACCCTTGCCGAAATGGGGGCTCATGTGAGGAGACTAAGGACAGTTTCAAGTGCCTCTGCCCATCTGTTTTTACTGGTGTTACGTGTGCAACAGGTAACAGAGAAACCTCTTTCCGCAAATCTAATTGTTTTTGCTCGTAGTTTAACAAGCAATCAGTCATGAGATAATTTCTTGAATAACAATGTTAACACCTAGGGTTTGGGACATAATGATCTTTAAAAGAGCACATTGACATAATCACATTTCTCTAAATTAAACTGTAAGAGATTTTGACACGTGTCCCCTTTTTGTATTTATGGAAAGTCTTTCAGAAATCCAGCATTAAAATCAAAAGAGACAGCTCGTTTGGCAAACTCGTTCGATATAATAGAATATCTCACCTGATACTTTCCAAGCAGCCTACATTCCTTCAAATAATTTAAGATTAATTTATAAACATTTTAACAATATTATTTTAAACATTAAGTTCCTCTGCTTCGAGCCAGAAGGGCGTTGAAATGTAAAATTTCAAACAGGAATGATAAATTAACAGATTTTTTATACTGGTATCGTATATTAAGTGCAGTCAGTTTGATTTGATTGTACAAATTTCTCATTTCGCGGCGGAAATTATTGATTTGCTTTCAGCCGTCGATATAACGTCAAACACAAGCACCACTGGAAAGCCTGCTTTGACAACGAAGTCCGGGATGTCATTGACCACCATCGACATGGGAATGGAAGATACGACCACGATGTCAACAACGGATAACTTGTCAACCCATGAAGAGTGTAAGTCATTTATTCCTTTACTTTTTTGTAGTTCATGCTTTATTGATCTTTTTCATTGCAAATAAAACATAACATAGTAGGCCTATCAACATTATGGTGGATCATATGATAAGATATAAATGACGTCGAAGCACATTATGTTTAAGATACATTAACAAAACTAACAAAGATTCAAACAACAAATTGTCGATTATTAAATACTAAGAGATAACAGACATTTAAGTTTACAGCAATAATAATAAACGCGCATCCGTAATAAGACAGTAGTACAGAGAGTATGCAGGAGAATGAGAAAAAAACAGTAAGTACGTCATTTATGATGCCTAGGGCTTGGGTAACATATGGATCAAATAAAAACTACTGTCTAGAACATGATTTACATAAAGCTTTGTTTCGTGCATCGGGTGTCTCTCATGCCTCTTCGTGCTTATACGCCATTGATAGTGAATTCTCGTATATTTTGATTTATTCTCCATGAAAGGTTCTCGCGCAAACAGGACGTGCCCGCCAGGCTGGGATGCATTCGGTTGCAAGTGCTACAAGTACATTAGGGTCCAGGAATGTTGGACCTGGCATTTCAACAAATGCCAGGATCTTTACGCTGCCACCATGTTGGTCATCGCGTCTGAGGAGGAGGACGATTTCATCACTCGTTCATACGGTCGGGAGATATTTTCCATCTGGCTGGGAGCAAAAGACCATCGGAACATTCATCCTGGTACTGTCCTGCAACAGGTGCAAGGTGGTCAGAGTCATTTAGCTCTCCCAACGACAGCTACTGGAGTAAGTATTGTGCAGACCAAGTATATTAATTTGTTCAAGTAATACATCAACTAAGTAATTATTCAAAATATTGTTTTGTTCATTCATCAAATTATTCATTTATTTATCTATTGATTTATCATTTTATCCATACTTTCATTCATTCATTTATGCATTTGTTTAATTATCTATAATTAAGTTATGATTGCAGCTGCAACATTTACATGTGCCCTACTTAAAACAATGAGAGTAGAAAAGAGCCACACCAGAAAACACATAAAGAAAGAAAGGAACATAAATAAATGCCATGAAATCGTATCATTCTTGACACTTGCCGAAGAATATATGTTATTTCTAGCTCTGTAGACAGTTTGTATTTTTCAAATCTTACCTCCAAAGCTTTATTCCTAGCGCACAATGTGTATAATATGGAGTGTGGAGAAATCCCCGTGACATTGTAACTCGCCATTCTACTACTATATCACGCAACATGTTACATCTAACGAAAGCACCATTACCGTAAGATAAAACAGACATGACGGGAGGGCTACCTTAAAGGTTTGGTTCACGTCTGAGGGTCAGGAAATAAATTTGCCTATTTTTCATATTTGTTTAAAACCTGCCAGGGTATTTACTTTGTTTGTTAGAACGAAACGCGACAATCCGACAACATCTTATTTATTAAATATGAAGTTTTTTTCTTCTGTATATGGTACTACTTTTTTTTAATGATAGAACTTAATTAGAATCATATTATGGAGTTGTGAATATAACTTATAACATATAACATAAGAATATGATTGTATCTGATGTTTCGTCTGATTCAAACTTTAGTAGGCTATCGGTATGATACAGTCATCCGATACAATGACATCTTAGATGTGTTCGATATCGTATGGGACAAAGTAGCTTGGACTTAAATAACCTAAATTGTTCGTGACGACTTAAAAATCTTTTTTTTAAATTTTTATTGATTTATTCATTTTTGTATCTATTCATATAGTTATTTGTTTGTTTGTGTGTTTGTCTTTAGACTGGGCCAGTACAGAACCAAACGAAGATTATCGATCCGACAGCTGTCTTCAAAAGAGTTTTTTCAGTGTGACTAATAACTGGAACGATGCCAGTTGTAAGCACAACATTCGCAGATCCGTGTGTGAGATCTTTAATTAAAAGAAAGATTGTACGCAAAATTTTAGAATTTTTAAATTTCCTAGGTTAAGTCTACCGAGGTACATTAACGATATGCATACTAAGATGGCTTTAGTCATAAGCGTACAGGAATATTTAGGAAGAGGAGGGGGGCTGCGCTTTTTGCTCAGTATCAACAAATTTTGACATATTAAACAACAAAAAATGTACAAGCATGAGAATAATTTGATTGAATGTGAATATATATCGTGGGAGCCCAAATATTAGGAGATGGTTGCTCGAATATTGGATCTTTAAAAATCCGGGGGGGGGGGCGGAACTGCAGTAATCCATCCCTACCTCGTCCGCGTATGTTGTTAATAAAAAGCCCCGAATCCCATATATTTATATATAAATCTATTTTTTTCTTTTCAAATTTGATCAACTCCAATTGGCAATTCTGCAGTCTTTCTATCGAGTACCTTTCAAATTCATTTAGTTCTAAAACTAAAACTAGAACTTTTATTGTCGTGATTACTTATGAAGGAATCTATTTCATACAGGGGTTGTTATGTGTCAAACTATGTATTCAGGGCTAGGTCTGATGACAAATTTTCTGTGAAATTTATTTCGCATATACTGCAGAACAAAAGGGAAAGGCTCTCGAAAGATGGTAAATCACAGAATTGTATAATTTATGTTTCTTCCCCTTTATCACATTGGTGTCAAAGTTGATTTCCCCTTAAAGTGATAATAATGTATTCATATAATGCGTTTATTCATGTTGAAATCTGCTTTACAGTTATACAAACGGAATCATGAGTTTTTGTTCAAATTACCATTTTGTGTACATGTATCTTGATGCAGCTAATAACAGCTTGCGTGAAAAATAACCCATCTTGCCAAATCAAGCACTTTGTGAATAAACTTGTACACACTTTTTCTCCACCATCGACAGTTCCCTGCATATTTATATGTCTCATTAAATCTTTATCTACATGATGTACATAATATATGGTATGCCTTTAGAGCGGGAATGGGGGGGGGGGGGGGGGGGGGAAGGGGGGTGGGGTGGGTCAAAGGTTGGAAGGGTTAGGTTGAAGATTGATACTATTAAATTTGAAAAGACTTTCCTAGCGAAAGGGGAGGATATTTGGAAGGGGGGCACGTACCTGGCACGTATTATTAAGAAAAATTAGTAAATAATGTTGAATATAAAATATTTCCAATTCTTTCTCTTATGTATTAATAACGTATTTATTTTCATCAAAATGTAAGGTCTACATTATGTAATTTTGTACATATTAATGAAATCACTATTTACGTAAGCTAGGTAATTTAATGATAACGTTTTAAACGGTTATTGTATATAAAGCAAGATAATATAATTAATGTTTATGAAAAATTATGATTGAATTGAATTGAATTGAAATTTATTTCCATCATCATGACAATATATACAAAGATAAAATATGGAATTTCATAACATGTAACAATATCAAAATTACATATAAAATTGACATAACAGCATTCAAAATATAAATGGAAAATGGTGCATCCGTAAAAGTCAATAAGGCTTGACAATTGAATGCACCAGGCGCAGAATTAATAATAACATATACTTGAAGAGAAAAAGAAAAAAAAAAAAAAAAAAGGGAAAATAAAAAGGAGTATGAGTAATATAGGTGTGGTCTTAAAATAAATTATGCGACATAAAGAGAGAGAAGATGTTTCTTGTAAAGTCTTTTGAAAGAATTATTAAATCCAACAGATTGTAAAAATGGAGGTAGGGAAATCCACATTTTTGGACAAACAGTTAGTATATTGGATGAAGCATTCCAATGATGGAATTTATCAGCATTTCTTGTGTAGTGGGTATGGACCACATTGTTAAGACTAAATAGGTGCATAAGGTTTGGAGGAAGTGAGTTTGAGAAAAATCGTTGCATCAATGAGGCAATTTGCAATTTATTAATATCATAAATATGTAAAGTATTGAATTTTCTAAATAAAGGTTGTGAGGGAGCTAAGAAAGGGGAATTAGAGCAGAGTCGTAATGCCCTTTTTTGAAGTCTATGTAATTTGAGTAACTTAGAGGGATGTTTCGTCGCCCAAACAGAATTGCAATACATAATATATGGCAAAATAAATGCATTATATAACATGAATAAGATACGGAGTGGAATAACAAATCTTAAGTGACTAATAATACCGACGCTTTGAGAAACCTTTTTTGTAATATAACTAATATGAGAAGTCCAAAATAGGTTTTCATCGAAAAGTACTCCAAGGTAATTAAAAACTCTACACTGTTCAATTAATCTATTGTTGATAGAAATAGATACATTGTCATATACAGGATTTAGGTTCCTTGCATTTTTGAAAATAACAAATTTAGTCTTAGAAACATTCAAAGACAGTTTATTGCAAACTAGCCATTCGTATATATACTCAAAATTATTATTCAGTTTATGGGTTAATAGATCATTTTTTTTCTGAGGCAAGAATAGTCGTATCGTCTGCAAAAAGTGTGAATTTACAGAAAGTGGAACAGTTTACAATATCATTGATGTAAATCTAAAATAAGAGAGGCCCCAAAATAGAGCCCTGGGGGACGCCATATGATATAAGATTAAAAAAAGAACAATGATAATTTACAGATGTAAATTGCTTCCTTTCGGCAAGATAACTTTGAAACCATTTGTGAGGTAAACCTCTTACGCCGTAAAAATGTCATTTAACTAATAATATATCATGGGGTATAGAATCGAAGGCTTTCGAAAGATCCATAAAAACACATATTGCATGATTATTTACATCAACATAATGGACTATTTTATCATATAAATCAAGAATAGCAAGACCTGTGGAATTTTTTTTTCGTATATTATGTTAGAAAAAGAATTTAAATTATTGTTTAAAAGAAAAAATGAATGGTTATTAGTGAATTAAATAATAAATAAATTCCGTTCCCGTTAAAACTTCTATCTGACACACGGTGGTTTTGGAACTTCCTCATAATTACAATCTGTTTTGTATCTTCTTTTGTTTTTGTGATTTCGTAATGTATATTTGTCATTGTACACTAATTTGTTATGTATAATTCTGCTGTGACATGATCTTTGTTATTGTTAAACAAATAGACAAAGAATTTCTGTTCTATGACGGATGAATCAATAAATTCAAATTCAATTCATACTTAATTCAAACATTTCTGTTTTGGTCTACTTTGTTAAAAGTATACCTTAAATATTTAAGTGGAACTTCTGTAAGGTATCTGACATTTATTCAGGTTCTGTACTCCAAAATCTACCAATGAAAATACGTGTGAATCAATCAAAATCATCTGGTTGGTTCGTATTAACAGAATTGAAAATGCAGCTTGCTACTTTTGTAATAATGATGATGAAAATCTCGAACACCTTTTTGTTTCATGTAGAGTTATACAGTGCGTCCCAGAAAAAACGAAACCGAGAATTATCGTTGTTTTATCATAACTTAATCACAATTATAATTGATGAATGACACATATTTGGAAAGCTTAGATCCTCCTCTTTCATTTGATGCAACTCATATAATGCATATTTCACGCATGAGTGATTAAAATGAATTTGAAGAGAGGAAACCAAAAAGTCTTTGGGCGGACTGTATCCGAATTTTAGAGAGAAAATCACATTTCTCGAAAGCTGCGTTTTTGCCCTTTCGTAAGACACCTCAATCACGAAAAATGAGCAAGGAATGACAAAGTTTTGTTTATTTAAAGGTATTACAAAGTTTTGGGAAATTTTGAAAAATGGGTGGATAGTGATTCTTTACAATTTGATATATTTGGATGCCCCTGTGAATGTATTAAAAGCACTAGAAATTTTAGCCCCTAAAAAACTTCTGCT